AGGGTCAGCTTTTAACTTCTCAACATGTAAAACAGTAATTATTTTAAATTTCTGGTTCTGTGAATTTCATAGTCCTCAGCAGTAATAAAGAATGGGGAATGTTCTGGAAGCTAATGATAGGCCAAGTTAAGTTTAATAACAGCGAAGAAATGTGATGATGTCACCTTCTGCTGCAGGTTTTTTTTATTTTATTTTTTTATTGCTATCAGCCCAGCAAGGTTTGAGTGAGGCAGCATTTGAAGAGGTGATCCTTAAGAGTTCCCTGGAGCATATCTGGCAGGAAATGGAGATGTACGCCGAGGCTCATAGTCAGATGACTCACAGTGGAACCCTGAAGTCTAATGTATTTGTTATCTGCTTCTAACCAGAAAGAAACATCCAGCACTGAAATGTGGATGGGATGTTAATTCCAAGTTCTTTGTCTTAGAAAGAGCTGGATGGCTGTAGCCGCTGCCTGATAAATGAGGTTTGTACAAGGTCCTGAATATTTCAGATCATCACTTGTCTTACTGTGTCTTCTGGAGGAGCTAAAGGTTTTATCAGCCCCAATTTTTTTACACTTTGGAGTTATGGTTGGTAAATCCTACCAGAATTTCTCATGTGCTTAAATGCAAGATTCCTTGCTTACTGTCTTACATGGTCAGGTGCATAGTTAGCCTTATAATTTTTAACCTGTAGTAAGATGTGCTATCATAAATAATGCTTTGCTTTCACACAGTGCGTTTTGTTCTTATACCTCAAATACCTTATACCTGCACTTTAATCATGGATGTGACAACTCCTTTGTGCAGTACTTATATCTTAAAGCACTTTTAAATATTATGCTCCCTCCACTGATGCTCCCCAGACCTTCACTGAAGAATTCCCTGAAAACAGCAATAGCTTCAAAGAAGGCAAAACGGTTTTATCATTATTCACTATGGCTTAGTTTGCATGGTAGTAGCAGTTGTAACTGTGACCTAGAAAGCATAAAACCAAGTGTGCAGTCTGGCTAGTAAAATCTGGAAGATATTTATGGCTTATGGTTGCCTTTACTCACATAAAAAGACAGATTAATTCTGTACTGCTGATGTTGGCAGACTGTAGAACCATACTGTGCTTTGAGATTCTTTTCTGTCATATCAGTAGCCTGGGGCTGAGACCCACTTATGTCCTTGGCATTGAGCTGATCAGCAGCTTTGGGATCAGAGGGTAATTTTCCTGCATGGCAGATGGGAAGGTGTAGTTGTCGGTGGCTGAGCCTTTCCTCACTCAAGATGGTTCTGATAATTGTCTTTATCAAATATTGCTTCTGAAGAAAGAAGATAGTGGCAACATCTTCTGTCCCTCTACTGTTTTTCTTTCTTGTGATACGTTGCGGTCATAGGTCTGTCTTTGTTTGCAGTTACATTATGAGAATGTGCTGGGCAGCTTTTGAGGTCTGTGCTGGAGTGATGTGCAATCAGTCTTACGTGAGCAGTTAAACCATTCCATGGTTGTTTTTAACTACAGGCTGGATTCAGTGACTCAAAGATCCCTTCCCACCCTGATATTCTCATGCTGCAGAAATACAGAAAGCTCCTGAAATTTGTGAGCATAAGCGTTATGCTCCAGACCCTTCATAGCTCTGTTGCCCTTCTCTGGACATGCTCCTGGGCCCCAATATCTTCTAGTGAGGGGCCAAAAACTGAACACAGCAGTCAAGGCATGGCCTCAACAGTGCTAAGTACAAAGAGAAAGCTGCATTAGTTTGCAGAATTACCAGAATTCAAATACCAGTCTTTTTAACATTTTTTTTTTTTTTCCCAGTCAGTGGATTATGTACTTGTATTTAATTTATAAGTCATCTGTGTGTCTTGTTTCAGTTTTGTTTGTAATGTGGCCAACTTGGTGATTTAAGTTGGCCAAGGGGTGATTAGAGCCAGGTGTCAAAATTCATCCAGTGGAGACCCAAAGTTGCTGCTCTCCAGCAGCTGTTTCATGCATGATCTGTATTTCTGGTTGTCCATATCCTGGCAAGCGAAGTGACTGTCAAGATTCATCATCCTGGGAGTGATTTACATTTGCTGGGCATTTCAGCAAAGCAATTGCTCATGGTACAGAGATGGAGTAGGGGCTGTCTGTAGTGATGCAGACATAGAAAGAGTTGAACTTTGCTGAGAAGGAAGCCCAGGGTGTCTAGCACTGTGACAGCCTAGTTATATGGCCAGACCACTTGAATCTGAGTCTTGTCAAGGTGTCACATTTCATCAGCAATAAGTCTGCTTGTTAAAGAAATGAAGAGTAATAAAACATTTTTATTAGTCATGAAACATATTTGTCACACGAGAAGTTGAGAAAAAAAAAGAAAAGGCTTGATTTAAATATTTTTTAAATTAAGTAGTTTTTGAAGCATCTTTAAGACATGAAGTTATTTATGATTTAAAACAATTCATAACTCATGTTGTATATTACACCAGTGGTGCAGCGTTGCTCAGAAGACAAAAAAAAAATGCTTATTTTAGTGATTTTAAGATAGCTTGGTATTGCATGTTAACTGTGTTTTTGTCCAATTTCTCATTCAACTGTCTTAGCACTACCATTTTCTTACTTGCTTTAACCACTTCTTTTACAGCCAGATAATTTTGCCCTACAACCCCTCCTCCTGAGTATGCTCACCAACCCCATTTGAGTTTACAGGGTTAGTCTGCTAAGCAATAAGTGTGTGCAAAAGTGAGCCCTATTCTGAACCTTTCTCCATATCTAGTTCTATGGCTTCTAAGTCTCCCAGTATTGTGGCTTACTGTACAGAATTATTTTATTGTTTTCTCATCTTCTTGTTATGACAGCTGGTTTTGTTGATCTGTAGTGCATTCATTTATGCAATAGGTTATACTCTATCAGGGTACTTAAAATCGTTTGCAGGTAGGCTCCATAAAAAGAATGTGATCAGCTCAAAGCTAAGCACCTACCTAAATGCTTAGCTGGACTGGAGGCTTAGAGAAGAGAGGAAAAGATTGCTTTAACTTTGTTTAGTGTGTTTAAAGCTGTTTTATCCTAATATCACCAGGAAAACCTCTGGTTATGAGTCCTCAATGCAGAAGACTTGCCAGACTTTTATTTTGACTTTACAGTTTACTGGATCTCCTGGCTTTTCTGAACTATAACCTCAACTACCAACTCTAATTTGCATGAGAAAATGTATTTCTGTCTCTTAAGTAATTTTAAGGTAACCATATCTTAAAATAGAGAATGTAGATGGCAATGAAAAGCTGGTGTCACCAGTTCATTTTATTTCTGCATGTGTGAGGAGACCAGAATAGTTACACAAGCCCAGACTGCATCAGCCCACACAATAACTGTGGCTCTGAATGTGAATAAGGACAAAAAAAAAAAAAAAAAAAAAAAAAGATGAACTGAGTAGCATAAGGGCCGCATTCTTTTCTTGTATTAAATTAGGCAGAGCCAGCACTAGAACTACAGGGGAAAAAAGATTACTGTACCCCACTGAAAATGAAGTCCAAAGAAAAGACACAAATGTATTTTTCCAGTTCATTATCCTACTTGATGGTGTTTGACTTCTTCCATTCCTCAAAGCAGAGTGCCCTGATCCCCACAGGCACTAAGGGATTTACTAGACTTAGTTTAACTTATGATCGCTGTAGGACTGCCCTAAATCCAGTGTTACAAGGAATACTTGTTATTACAGTTCTTGCTTTCCTGAATGAGAAATTAGCTGGACTGAATTTTTGCTTTTCCTATTGCTCTGAGACTAGGGCATTAGGTGTCACTGAGACCTCTGAAAGCTGTATAGAAGTCCAGGTGTTTTCAAAGAAAGGAATGTTTGCAGAGTTGTCTTTTCATACTTCTCCTCTTCTGCCATGTCACTTCTGGGGTTGCAACAAAAACTCCACATGGAATTCACACTGTGCAGTTTTCTGTGTGTTATTTTTCAGATACAGGTCCTTACTATAGTTTTCCTTCTCCCTTGTTCCTCCCTAAATGAGCTTTTGGCATCATGATATCAAGGATGGCACTTCAGCAAATGCTTAACCTGATTGCACTGTCTAGAGTTGAAGACAGAAATGGGCTTTGGCACTCTTAAAAAAGAATGAACTGAGGCAAATGTTTAATGCTTTTTTATGATGCAAACCAAAAAACTGCTTTCTCAATAGTGTATATATTTTAATTTATTATATAAGTTATAATAGTGAGAAAGAGGGAAAAGGGTGGTTAATTGTTATCCACTAGTACTCTTGCTCAGTGCAGCCTATACATAGGACAATACAGAGTCTCAGGCTGTTACCTTCCCTCTTCTTTCTAATGGGCTTGGGACAAACAGTTGTGGCAGTGAGTAGACCTGGGCTCTCTTCACTGCTCTTCCCTGCCTTATTGTGATTCTTTGTTCACTGTGCCTCTCTGTCTCTTTTTCCTTCTGTGTCTGTCTAAATTACCAAAGGTAAAAGGATGGGAACTGGCTCCTGCTCTGTGTTTGATCTTGCCTACCAAACTGGTGGGACTTGCTGCATTATGGCAGGCCAAGATGTTCTTACAATACAAATAAATACTAAGAAATCTCTGATTTGCCCCTCTGTTTTCGGTGGCTTTGGACTCTCAGTGTATCTGATGCTGACTGACCACTCCACCGTCAGTCCCACAGTCTGAGCGGTCTGTAGGAATCTCAGGTGTTTGGCATTGATATCTTCAGCTATAGCTTAGGTGCCAGGGTGTCAAGTCCATCCTGTCTTAAAAATTCTCTGAAGTGCCACAAAGCAAAACTTCAGACAGAAACATGCAGTTCCAGGGCGTCACTGGAAATAATGGTTCAATGTCCATACATCATTCATGTGACATGCGTAGTCTTCCTTCTCCTTTCTCAAAATGTCAGTCCAGAGTCCTCACCAGTTTTAATGGTATATGAGGATACAAGTGGATTGAAGCGTCTGTCTTAACTTGTGCACACAGTGAGATGTATTCTCAGTTGCGAGGCCATATACAGAATGCTTTCTACCTAATATTAATTTACTGTTTGTCTTTTGCAGCACTTTTACAGGCAGTCATAGCTGGTGATCTGCTGAAGGTAAGCACAGAGTACTGAGTGTCCACGTTTTCACAGCTACTAGAAGGTTTGATATGCTGTAAATTATATCACACCTCTGCTCAAAACATAAACAGACTGCTGTAGGGACTGCTGTCAAACGCCATTTTACAGCCTTTCCAGGAAACCCTGAGTATTAGGAAGCACATCAGTTAGGTGAGGTGTGAAATTTGAGTGAATAGGATCTGGTGTTAGGCAGCACCTTTCAGCCATAGTCCATAGTGCACTGTATAGAGCACTGTGTCAATTATCAATAGAGAAATCATGTACTGGAAGATGTAGCACTAGGCAACAGTGTAGATGTTGCAGATGTTGTTTTAGATGTTTTATTGCAGTGATGTTGGTGGCCAAGCAATTAGAGTTGTTAGAGACATCTTAATATCTTCCTAGGCAACCAAAGACCAGGTAGAATGAAACTCAGTTTGATGCCTTACTGTTTGATAGATGTCTCAAAACCAATAGCATTTTGGTATGATCAATTTTTGGTACCTTGCTTTGGTAGGAAAAGGCACCCATGTAAAAAGCCTTGTTCTCTAAGTCTGAAGTTCTATGCCTGACACTTATTCAGGCTGTGTGTTTCAGTAGCCAAATAGGGGTTTGCAAACATGTCCCTGAATTTGAATGAGAAGTGTGATTAATGATTGCAGTATTATCTGCAAAAATCCAGCTTGGAACCATTCATAAAAATGACAGTACTGTTAGGGCAACCCTTGGCCTGCAGATGTACCTTCCAATCTTTCTCCCCTAGTGTGGCAGCTGCAGCATCTAGGCAATGTTCCTCAAGCAAGCAGTCATTAAAATATTGTTCCATTTCTGCTTCTTGAAAGCTTTTTGCCTGAGTTTGCTTTGACAAGGAAACTTGTCCTTCTTCAGTTGTCATGTGTCATAAGTAATGTCCCCCTGTCACCAGCTACACCCTCTTTTCTGCAATAATCTGTATTACAGAAAGAGTTTACAGAAAATCTGAGAACTGACCAGTGGATGTTGCCTGTCCTTGTCTTGGATAGTGCTTTCCTCTTGGAGGGCTCTGAATAGAAAGGAGAGTGTGTGGCAGCTCAAATCCAGCTCCCTATAGATTTTTGAGTCAGAGTTTTCTGGTTTAGTCAGAAAGTGTTTACTTTGGATATGCTCCCTTTACTGATTAAAAAAAGTGAAATTTTCAGGAGATAAGCCAGAATTTTCTATTAAATACATATATTTTTAAATTTCCTAACAGCTTCACTGTAAGTGTTTTTGCAAGTCATTTATAGCAAGCAATAATTCACCACCCATAGAGCAGCAGTGTCTCATTGTTCAGGAAATATGATCTGCTTTTGTTAACCCATATAATTGTCAATGCTTCTAGTTTAAAATATCTTTTTTTCACTGGGGCCTAAAAGCTGGCTTTAATGTAATATTACATTTCATTGCATTGCATTCTTGTACTGATCTCCTGCGGAAATTAATACATGATTTGCCTGCATATCTGTTTTTCTGCTTTTCCTGCATTATCCTTCTTTATGGGTATGTGTGTGTTTTTTTTCCTAGTTCATAGAATGCTGTAAAAAAGGAGCCAATTTGCTAATCCAAGGACCTGACCATGGCTCCTTGTTGCATCACGCTGCCAAGAGTGGGCATGGCGAGATTGTGAAGTATATCCTGGAACACGGTGAGTCAGTGTGCAAACCTGCAGAGAGCTGTACTGCAGCCGAGTGTGTCAGCCAGGTGAAACCACACAGCACTGGCTGGGAGCATTCTCACTCGTTGTCATCACCCTCAGCCACTTGTAGAAGGCGTGAGCAGGAGACTAGGAATGTGGCGGCAATGACAGGAATGGCTCCAGATGAAAGGAAACTAAAATGAGTTTTGAAGAGAATGGGAATTTTCACAATTTCATCAGTTGTGATGTTTGAAGACCCGGTGCGATGCTCCAGTTTGCCCTCTGGCATGAGACTGCAAAATTAATTTGTTTTCCTATTAAAGCACGTGTTGTAGAAAGGATCTAATCTGTGCAAAATCATTAACAGAAATGGAAAGTCCCTCCTACCATTGATATTATTTCAGTATTTAATAATGCTGGTTGGAAGCTATGCATTTGTTTCTAGACTGGATTTGCCTAGTTTCCTTCACAACCTTCCAATATTTTGTCTCTCTTTTTTTTTTTTGTTTTTTGTTTTTCAAGTCCATCTCATAACAGTAATCTGTGATATCCATTTAAAATATTTATACTCGTATGCTGTGATCTTGCCATTTCAGTTTTTTCCTTCAGACTCTTTTTATCTTTGTCAGTAACAGGATCGCAGGCATGCTTACATGGGCTATGTAAGAATTTGCATTTTACATATGTTTGAGTTAGCAGTACTTAGGAGTTTCTGCCTGTTCAAACTACTGTGATCTTGTTCACTGCTGAAAAATGATATAGGACACAACAGCATGACAACTACTCACAAACACAGAGACTATCTCTGGCAATTATAATGTATTAGCCAATGCCTGAAAGTTGCTACGGAAGTTTCACAGAGAGAAGAAAAAAGCACTACACACAGTAAATAAAGAGACAATAATACATCTGTTAACATTTGTTTTAGTTGGAGTGGGATTTAGCTTCAGTTTGGCTCTTAAAGCTTAGGTTTTTATATGGTGTGATATAGTCAATAGGTCTAAGTTCTGCATGGGTCCATAGATAACATGCGAGGCCTGTAGAAGACTCATATCCTTCTGGACTGCCAGCAGGAGCCTAGACAAACATCCCTGTAATTCCAAATTCATACCAGAGCTTGCCCTTTAAAATATCATAAAATATCCATATGGGCAGCTGAACTGTTCTCCAGTTATTTGGCTAAGAGGAGGGTCTTTTTTTTGTGTGTAGAGATACCTACATCTGATAGATACATATAGCTAGCCTTATATCCAAATTCTGGCTATTTTTCTCAGATGTTGTAGCAAGTCTTACTATCACTAAATCTATTTCTTATTTGACTTCTCTGGATCATCTCATAGGTTACAGTTCATTTATATGCCTCTAAATTCTGTAGATAGACATAATTTCACCTAATTTTCTTAGTCTTTCTTGTTTCTTCTCCTAGTTCGCATGACCTGTGCCACTTCACTCTCATGGATACCTCTCCAGGACTTTTCTTAGGCACACATACCTTAAATTACAGACTGACCCAGTTACAATTCTTTCAATGAGGGTTTAAAATGAGATCATTTAAGCTGATGAGGATGTGAGCAGGAAATCCATGGGAATTTTTTAAGTGAATAGAGAAATGTAGGGGATTACGGACAGTTAGACAAAGACAAACCAGAAGGTTGAGCAAATGTCAACTCAGTTTCTCTCTCCCCCCCGTCCCCAAGGATGACAGGAAGCTTTTGCAGCTTTCCAGACATATGTCCTCTGAGCTTCTCCAAATGCATTGTTTGTTTAACATTCTCTGGGGATCAGAGAATGCATGGGACAGTGCTCTAATAGGGGCCTCCTCTTTCTCCCACTAAGCAATTAATGAATCTCATTTCTACCCTGGGCACTTCTCAGTCACAAACAAGCTCTCTTGCTGAATCATCATCATGATGTCCTTGTTTTTATGTTGTTTCTCTGGCACCTGGCATCTTCTCATTAATAATTAGTGTATGAGACCTCATCCAACACTATTAATATCTGAGGCTTTCCCTGTATCTAGCTTCTTATTTCTGCTAATTGACACGCTTGATAAAAATGGATCTTACTCTTCTTTTGGCCATTACTTTTGTCCACCTCTAATTCCCCCATAGTTTTTCTGTCATAGAGTTTATCAAGAACACGTGACTAGAGATGGTTAACATTAATAAGAGCTCCACAGCAAAATGCTCTCCAGCTACAGCGCAGGAAATCCGTTATGAATCAGAGAAAATCTTCTCAATGTAGTTCAAACAGTGACCAACAACAACAAAAAAATGATTGTTAGCTATCTGGTATGAAGCTACTGGGGTGAATTGAATGTGGTGCAGGGGTGGTAAATCCCTCCTTGCCCCCAGCAAACACACCTCAGGCATAGCACTGGGACCGTGAAGAAGAGGAAATGGTGTTGTGCTGTCTTTTGTGGTGATGGCTTTATGCTTTCTGCAATTATGCAGGGATATTAATATGAGAGATTACACTGTGATCTTGATCAGAATTATTTTAGATGTTAAGGGGAGGAAAATAACCCGTCTCAAGATAGAAAAAAGCAGAGATTGGTCAAACAAAGAGACTGCTGTGATACTTATCAGTGGACTGGCATGAGTCTGGAACAGCAGCTGAAGCAGCAATGTAGTAGTAGGTGTTAGAACAACTGAAGTGTAGTAGGTGTTATAACAGCTGCTTACTGCTGCAGGAATGGTTGTGTTGGTTGCTGTTCCTTCAAAACAATTTCTCTCCATCTCCTATGCATGAAGGGCAGATACACAGACCTACATGTTGTTCAAGAAGCCTTCATAAATCAAGGGTCTTTTTCTTGTATTGAAAAGGTCACCTTTTAAGATCTGTCTGTAGCTGGGCTAAGAAACACTTTGCAAGAAACTGAGGGCCAAACTCAGTAGGTATCAGAACCACATGTTTTTTTTTTGCTGCAGTCAACTATCTCACGCCCCAATGCTTACACATTAAAAAAAATTAACTATTTATTTCACACAGTTCAGTAGGGAACACTTAAGAATCTCAGTTAGAAAAGGATCTCCTAAATCATTGCCTGTATTTGGAATCAAACTTGATTTGGAATCTTCATCTGGAAATTCTGAACTGCTTATAACAATTATTGAAGACAAGCAATCCAATGTATATCTTCTCTACTTTTCTTCTCTAGAAGCTCAAAAAAAAAAATGCAAGAGTTCTGTAGTTAATCCAGGGAATGTCAGTTTTCAACAGAAGAACATTGCTTATAATTGCTTAAGAGTTTGTGTTGGAAACTTCTGGTGGAATAGTTAGTTCATGTCATTCTGAACATCTTTGTGACCTCTGACCTCACTGTCCTTGTTCCACTAGATAGCATCCTCTAGTAAACACGAGAATGCATTTGTTGTTATTATTATTAGAGTTTTTTTGTTTGTTTTGCTTGGAAAGCAAATTCTGCTATGACAAAGATCTATGGTGGGGACAAAGCCTGTTGAAGATTGAGTTTGTCTGACATTCACTGATAGCTCTAGATTTGCAGAATGTTTTGTAGCAGGGGGACATTTGTGAGTTGCTTAAGTAGTAAACAGCTCAGATTTCCTAGAAGGCACAAAGTATAAAATAGTCCATTTTATTTTCTAGGTTTACAAAATTTGAGGTTAATGTGAGTGAGGGACAGTTAAAATGAGAGACATCTTCATACAATAGAAATTCAGAGCCAGAAGACGCTAGTAGTCCAAGACAGACACTGTTTATCTTCACATCAGGTAGAAATAAGGAGTGCAAAGTTGGGGGAAGACCTGAAATAGTTCTACTTTTGCAAGTGAATGTTATTTTAAAAATAATCCCTCTTTGACAGTAATGAACCAAACCCATTTTGTCCTGTATGTCAAAACCATAATTAAATGATTAACCAAAGAAGATTTTGACTGATGAACTCCCAGAAATGCTGCTAGTGAAGGACATTACTGTTAAAAACAGATTCACTTCTTCCCCATTTGTACAAAGGGAGGGACTGACAGGACCAGGGACTGGCAAAGGTTAATAACTGTGGGTCTCCTGTGGGTAGCTGTAATCACCTCCACTGGAGAGGGCAGGGTGTGTTGCAGGCTTGGAGGCCTTTTAGACTGCATGGTGCTGTATATTTTGGAAATGCCTCTTTTTGCCTCTCTTTTATGTTGTAATGAACTCAGCTAAAGGGCAGCTGCTTTCTAGCATCTCCTTCTCTTGCCTCCTCCTGTCCCCAGCTTGGCCTGAGAAATTAGAGAGGGGCTTTGGTGGAGTGAAAGGGGGCAGAAGGAAAGAAGGAAAAAAGTTAATAATTCTACACAGACAGTCTATTGGAGATGTGAAGTAAAGAAAGTGATCTCAGCTGGGCTTCCCCTCAGTATGTCATGCTTTTCAGCTCCTTTCAAGCAAACTTCTCCCCCCTGTCCCCATACTGCCATTCTTTAGTCCCCAAGTCTCTCTCTTTCTCTCTCTCTTTCTCTTTTTTTTTTTTCTCCCTCCACCTCTCCACACATTTCTATCTTTTGTTTTTATTTCCCCCCCTGCTGTTTTGCTTGATAGAAATCTCACTCATGCATTTCCCTTCCGGATTTCTATGGGGTTATTTTGTCCTCTCTCTCTCTGCGCCTTGGTCTCCTTTTCTTTCTTTGCCTCTTGTCCTGGAGTAAAACAGTCGCCTCCCTGCTGGGTCAGGATGACAGTGCCGTTAGCTTTCCCAGTGCCAGCCCTTCCCACGTATGTGCAGCTTTTGTCCCAGGGCAGAGGGGGATTTGGAATGGTCGGTTGGCAGCGCCAGGGAGACTGATGTAAAAATGAGGTCCAAAACAGAGGGGAAAGGGAATTAGGAGGAGAGCGTGATGTGGTTTAAGAGAAGCACAAGCAAAATAAAGAAGAAATAAAGGAAACAACTCAGACTGAATGTGAGTTGGGACCATATACTTTTAGAGATAGGTCAAAGAGAATAAAATGAATGAATTCTGGCACCATGTCATGCTGTAAATTGATTAATTGCAATATCTGGCCTTAAGTCTAACTGCGATGGAGTCAGGTTGCTCCCATTGGATGTTTTGTTTTGAATAGTTTACTGGAGAACTCCCATGTGCACTGATAGGATGTACTTGGCACCTGTTTAGATTTGTACTTATAGAATGCTCACTCAATCCTTAGTACTTGGCTCCCCTCCTGACCAGTTCTCCTTTGTCCTTGGTTTTCTTTCTCACCAGATGTACTCAGTTCCAGCTCTTCTGTCCACTCAGATCTCATTCTTCTAATTTCTCTCTTTTTTCTGTTCTTGCCAGATAAGAATGTGCCCAATGCGGCCAGTTCAGATATGTTGCTGCACCATCACACCACAACCTTCATTGTCCTCTCTATGAGCAGAAACGTATTTTTACTAAGTTAACACTGCAAGTCATTCCTTCTACCTTTCTCTGGGAGGTAGTATTGCAGCAAGCCATGGGAAATGGCTTATTAAACCTTTATTTTTGAAATAACATAGCTTTCTTTAGTCCTGAGAGATATTATTCATATAGTTGTTTTTATTCATATAGTTGTTGGTTGTTTGGTTTGGTCTGTTTTTGTTGTTTGTTTTTTGTTCTTAGAATCTTAGCTATTCTTTTTCTCAACAAGGGAACTCTGCTTAGACTCCTGTATCCTTCTGTGCTTATAGGAATTCGTAGTTTGTGATTATTCTTCTATTGGATAGGGAGCTGTAAACCCACAACAGCTAAGTGAAACCGCTGTGTGGTGTAGCATGAGAATTAGGAGAGTGGCTAATGAGCTTGGAGAACTGCTGCAGTAGGTATGCAATGCTCTATGCACTGAGTTCTAGGCATGCTACCTTTTTGACCACCTCTTTCTCATGATGGTGGAAGGTGAAGGGAAGGAGCTATCTGCAGTTCCAGGAGCCATGGCAACCAGCTCTCCCAAACATTCTACATATATATGTTATAAAAAGAGTGAGGGAGATGGACTGCTCAGATCCACTTCAGCATAGACTCAGTGAAAGAAGTGAAGAGAGGTTGTGAGTAGGCCTTTGTGAGTAAACAGAGTGAAATTCCTCAGTTTCAGGTGAGATTTGCCATAAACTCTTGAGGACTCCTGAATTTGAAAGTCAAAGTGTGATGAAGAGAAATATTCATGCACAGGAAGCAAAATTCCTGTGAAGTTTCACTATTCCCTTTGCTAAATGCCCCATACCATCTGGCACTATGCTCCAGGGAAGTGGAGAGGAGAATAATAAGGCAGACTAGAAAAGGAAGAGTTCTTCTCATTCCAAATGCTATCCAAATCCTAGCTTTTCCCTGTCACTGTAATTCAGCAATGGAATTTACTGCTGTAGACATCTGCCTGTAGTGAATATCAAGAACAAAAGCACATCAACAAAATGAATTTTTTTGTCTCACTTAACAAAAAACTTTTCTATTTTGCTTAACCTTACTTTCCTGATCATTGCTGACCAGCAAAGTACAGAATTTGCATATCAATATAAGGACTGCTGGGAATATTCCACCCTGATCTACATTCTGTATAGTGCTGTTAAATAGAGTAGCACAGGGATGTCATTCAGGACAGAATTTGGCTAATTTCAACTTCCTAATGACATTTTCCCTCTAGTACTAACAATAGATTGTAACTTGCAATATATCAGGGTTTCCATTATATCAGCATTTCCAATGTGCTGTGCTTATGTGAACCACTTAATTGAGCAAGGTGAAGAGTGAGAAAATAAATGCCATGAATATTCATTCTCAGTATAATTTAGAAGCTGCTATTCCCTGGCACTGAGACTCCAGCAGTGACTGTGCATTCAGAATTTTGCTAGTGCAAGGGTTTGTGCAAGCAAATGTTACCTTGAAGCTTGGTGTATCTGTGCCAACTGAGCTTTCTGTTGATTTGTTTTACATATTGCATATGTACATTCGCATATGCAAACAAATGCTATATAACGTATTTGACTGTCTTTTGCAGGTCCTTCTGAATTACTGGACATGACAGACAGTGAAACGTAAGTACAGTCTACCCTGTCTGCTTTTCACAGTATTTGTATTATGTTAGCCAACTTCACTTGTTTTTCAAAACGGCCCATCTCTTCAAAAATAAACAAACAGAAATGCCTTCAAGTCTGAAAACAACAGACACACACGTAGCTTTCAGGCCTAGAACAAATGTTTCTTGAATACCAGAAAGGATTTTCTTTCTATTGCTTCCTATTTCTCATAAGTCTTTCTAGAGAGATTCAAGTCCTGCATTGTGCTTTGATGTTTCCAGAATCTAGTCAATGAGGATCAACATGAAGGCTTGATTTCAAAAGTCAGGACAAGAATTTTCTTATTCAGTGCTGGATGCTCTGTCTTGGTTGCTCTAAATGGACACAACTTGTGCCATCAAAGATTTCTCTCAAGTAATTAGAAACTCAATCAGCTCTAATATTATTAAAAAAAGACTTGACTTTACAAATCTCTGTATAATCAGGGTATCACAATAATGTATATAAGTTGCTGTGAAAGTAATGCTTTGTTTTTATTTCCATGGAAAATACAGCACATGCAAAGAACATAAGAACACTATTTGATAGAACAAATTCCCAGCTACAAAACACTATTGTTCCAACATAGGTGCCATCTTTAGCTGTGAATTTTCATCAGCAGTGAACAAGAACCTACGTCTGCACACATGGCACTCTGCATGGCCATTCAGAATGTAGTATGTCTTTCTTGTTGCTGTTGTCAAACACCACCCCCACCATTTCACTGTGCTCACATCCACTGGTTGGTCTCCATAACAACAAGTTCAACAAGTGTCAATGAATGTCAGTGGGTGCTATTTTTTCTGCATGGAGGAATTCAGTGACACACCTTTGCTTCGTATGCACTTCCATGTCGGATGCCACTCTGTCAGAATGCCCCTCTGCTGCCATCTGTCTTATGGCAACAGAATGTAACAGAATATTGGTAGAAAGGTTCGTGCTTTACTGCCATACCACTATTTGTCTTTGATGCTGTGGGAAAAAAAAAAAAAAGGAGGCATTAGTTTTGGACCAGTTCTCGTATAAGTGATCCATAAATAACTCTGGGAAACATATAGAATGTATGAGAAACAAAACAGCCTTTCCCATAGGGGTTAAGCCTATCATTACCCATCTCACAACATCCTCTTCTTTACCGACATTCTCTGTTAGTTCTGCACGGGGTACTTATGGCAGTCCAGCAGGGGTGAAGTCCATATACTTCTCCTTGTACAGTGGCATTGTGGAGACTCTGAAATAAAAGTGCAAGTGAATATAGCTACAAGGGCTTCCCTTTACAAATGTTTTCCTATCACTACCTCTTGAAAATGAAAATTTTTCTTTTGATTCTCAGAGTGAAATCAGGTATCTTCCCCACCTGAATCTAGCCCTCATAAATTAGAGATAGATTACAAAGTTGCCTGTTAATATTTAACTTGCCCTGTAATTGGCTGAGACTGAAATTCCTTTCTGGGAATGTATGCTCTTCTACATCTGTCTTATTACAGGTAATTCTTATCATTTTTTATCTTGGAGTGCATGTAATTGCCTTACTTGTTTGACTGTAGTACTACAGACACCTCTTCAAGCAGATCAAACTACTTTCCTCCTATTTCTAGTCAAAGATGAATTGGCTCCTTTAACCTCATTAGTACAGTCGTTCTCAGAATCCTGCTACAAGTAGACCCACCCTAAATTAAGAATTTTGCAATAAACCTGCACCTACTACACAGCTTTCTGTTCTGAAAAGCATGTGTTCAAGCTTCCTCAGTAGCTCACTAGTCCAAAAGTACAAAACAAGAACACAGATCTCCTCTCATGCATCCATGATGGTCAGGTATCAGAACCAGGGCAGCAAGTGTACCAGACATGGCTTTGATGGGCGTGATTTTTCTATCACGCCTCCAAAAACAGGAGATTCAGGAGAGAAAAGGCAGGAAGATAAAAGTATTGTTCCAGCATAGCCTGCTATGAAATAAGGTGTTTGCTTTGTCTCTACAGCAGTTAGCAGAACTGCGGGTTGGATGGGAATGTGACATTTTTGTTTTTCTGAATACAATATTTCTGAATACAAAAATGTTGTGCCTGTTTCTTTCCCACTTCTCAGTTCTCCAACTGCTATTTGTGCACTGCAGGCTTTCTTACTGAGTCAAAGGATGTAGGTGCTAAGGAGGAGAGTGCACAAGTCCGCCTCTGCCAGGAAGAAGCAACCATGCAGAAATACATCATCCCTTTCTGTTCACTGAACCTTCTGTTTCATAAACGTTGATGAGTGTGATGTGTCTCACTGCTGGTTTCTGTACTTTGGTCTAGGGGTGAGACAGCATTACATAAAGCGGCCTGCCAGCGCCATCGTGCCATCTGCCAGCTCCTGGTGGATGCGGGAGCCTCGCTGAGAAAGACGGACTCCAAGGTAACCCAGCTTAGTCAACGGGTTATAAAGCACTGCAGCCAAGCGAGACTGATCAGCATCCGTCCCTGCTGTGTGCATGATTGAGGCTTCCCTGTGTGTGCCAGGAACAGCTCTTTTTACACGTTTTTACTTAGAAAACTGTATTGATTCAAACAAGTACAAGGGACTTTAGTTCAGTCCCCAGTGTGGGTCATCTTCACTATAGCGAGAGCTTGGCCTCAAACTATTTGGTGTGTTGGGTGTGAATGAAGCATCTCCATGGCACAGCAGCATCCTTGTCTTGTGTGGTCAAAAGAGAGGTTTATGGGCAGGGACCACTTGGGGAAGCCTTGGTTTTTGATTGCACAGTGTCTATGAGGCTAGATTGTTGTAGTTGACTTGCTTTCTGAGGGTGGCTAACCATCTTTTTTTGTCCTCACTTGCCCCTGTGTTCATTGGTGTGACACTAACCACAACTGTCTTTCCATGTAAGCTTGGAGAAAGAAGATGTATGGGAAAAATTAAAACCTAGGAATATTCTGCAAAAAAAACCCAAAAAACAACAAAACATATAATTGCTTGGAAACACTGTACAGAATCAGCCCCACTAGCATTTCTGAATATAAGCAACCTATATCAGTATTTGAGAGATGCTCAGATCAATGGGTTCCAGAGTTGTGCAGCAAGACAATAACAATTCCTGTCATGTTAAACTGCAGGGAGTAGTCTGTAAGCTGGAGAGAGATCATCTCTTTTTCAGATCTCTTTTTTTCAGATCAGACTCTTTTCCAGTACTATATATTGTATTTCTGCAACAGCTGGAATCCAGAGGAGTGGCTTTCTGAGTTGTTAATCTTCATCAATCCAGAGAGCAAGAATGGTTTTGTGGAGATTCTATTGCACTATTCACTCACATAGCCACTGCACCCTAAGAATGAAAATTCAGTTCCTTCCAGTATGTGAGCCTTTCTGAGTATCAAAAAACATGACCTTGCAGGGCTCAATGATTTGTCTTAAACTGCACAAGGACCTTGAAATTCTTTAGAACCTCATGAGTCTGTAGTAATTCTTCTGGGTCATGCTTTCATCTGGTCTTCTAAATATGTTAGCACAACATTTTTCTTCCTGTTTTTTTATTATTATAGGGTAAGACTCCTCGTGACAGGGCTCAGCAAGCTGGTGATCCAGATCTGGCCTCCTATCTGGAAAGTCGACAGAATTACCAAATGGTTCCCCATGAGGATTTGGAAACGGCTGTCTGATATCTGAAAACAGAGAAGAGGATCTTCAGAAATAGCAAGGCTGCACCTGAGCACTTGGGCATTGTGTGAGGAAGAAGCTGATGGAATCAACATGTCTCTCGCTCTCTTGGAAAATATCAGAGGACATGCCACCAGTTTCTAAGGGCTACAGAGTCTTGCCACGGAACAGTTAGGTTCCATAAGTTAGCCCATGATGGATGAGGTGGGACATTCAAAGGTCTGTGGAATCCATGGGCCATGGAAATTTACCTTAATTGCTTCCAGCAAGTAGCATGAACTTCTCCCATGTTCATCTGTACAATTTATTAAAAAAAAAAAAAGAAAAAGAAAAAGAAAAAGAAAAAGAAAAAGAAAAAGAAAAAGAAAGAGAAAGAGAGAAGTGAGTGTTGGGGGAACCAAACTAACTGGGACATTGAAACATATAACCAGGCCCTCCACCATCCCTACATTTTCTTGCATACCCTTAATTCTCCCATTCCTCTCACTTGACATCTGTTAAATAGTATCTGTTATCTCTGTGTCCTGGTCATGCAGTAGCAAAAAATATTGAGGAGTTCTGGAATGCCCTTAGGAAGAAAATGTTTTTACCTGCTGTGTTCCCTCCTTTGCTATCCCTTTGGAAGCTGCTTCCTTGGTCTTCTGTTACTGGAGAGTTTTTTTCACTTTTGGAGAAGATTCTGCCTATTGCCTTGTTTTCTAGGGTTTGGGTCAATTTATAACAGTAACAAAAACTAACCTCATTGTTGCTGCATATGTGCTTATGGTATCCTGATGAGACAGTCATTTGAATAGAAAGGTTATCCAATATAGCCACGTTGTATGACAGAGCAGAAAGCTACCCCTAAGGTTTCTTGCACCACCGCTGTACTTATAATGACTGACTGGTTTCTGTCAGCATTCGGGCCTGACTAAAAGCTAATAGCTATTTTTTTTTTTTTTCTTTCACTTCTGGAAAGATGGGTTTTATGACAAGGAAAGGAAACCTTGGAGGTCATCAGTCAGCCATGAATAAATGAACAAGCACTGCATATATTGGGAACAGGAAAATTTCTTCTGGCTGAACCTGTAAACTACCTGATTCCCCAAGGGGAATGGAAGAAAGTTTTAAAGAGAGGCTCTCCCCAAGAAAGAGGACAAGCATCAGCTCTTTACTCACTATAGGCTTGGAAATTTAAACTTGCTTAGCTGCTGTAAAGGCCTGCCATGGCTACTGTACTCATCTGTTCTCTGTCTTACCTCAAAGATTATAAATACAAAAGAAGAAAAATCAGACACACACAGACATACAGAAAATTTTCACCTTCAGGTTTTCTATCATTAAAGACAATTCAGCTACCAGAAATAGCAGAGCTTCCACTTTGCCCAGTTCTTATGAAGACACTTGTGGCCCACTTTTGGCATAATTCTTGCAATAGATTTTTGAATTTTGCTTTGCTATTTGTTTTGACTGATCATGTAGTGGTTGGTTTCAAATGCATTTCAAGGGATAGGTCTTCGGTAGATGTCGATCGTCAAGATCTCATGCAGTTTGGAAACCATGGAAAAAACTCAGGTCATCGTTCAGATAAGTTTTACTTCCTCTGTAGAAGTTGTGGAAATTAAATGAATGAAAATCCTTTCTTTATTCTTTTTAAGTTTATCTTTTCCCTTCTTCCCTCCCTCTCCTTCCTTCCCTCTTTTTCTCCCTCCTTCCTTCCCTCCGTCCCTCTTTCCTTCCCACCTTCCTTCCTTTCCTCCCTCCTTCCTTCCTTTTCCTTCCTTTTTGAGTGATTCTTGTGGCAGAAAAAGAAAAGCTATATATATATATATTATTTTATTTTTTCTGTTTTCAAAAGTTTATTTGATATGAGCGAAATATTTCTTTAGTATTTCTTCCTCTGGAAGGAAACTATATATATTTGTAAACTATTGATCAATGGCGACATGAAATGTATTTTGTCTTTTTTTTTTTTTTCTATCTTTATTCTCGTTTGAGAAATAAAATATAAAAACCAAATTTCTTCCCTTGATAATAATGCAGGGGCTTATGGTGAAGGTGTATATATTGGAAATGAATTTGGCAATGGTTAAAATAAATATATAATTATACAATTTTGGTGTATGTGAAACTTCCATAAGGAAGACCCTCACCCTCACAGTATGATTTCATGGTAGGCATTGCATCATTTTCTAACTGTGAGAAAAGACTATACTGTAATATTTCTATATATTTGACTTAAAATATGAACGATGCTAGCATCAGTTGTATCTTTTTGCTGTTTTACTGATGTGAGAAACAGAGAGAGCTTCAGTGATACCAGGGACTGGATTTTGTTCTGTGCTGAGGTCAGGCTGAGGCCTGAGCACAGGATGCTCAGTGAGCACTTTGCAGCTCCCTCATCCTTAAGTCACAAGAAAGTGGAACAATGCAGGTTTGCTCTGATCACAGGTAGCCTCCAGAAGCCACGTGTGAATTATTATACAGACTTGGGCCCGATCCCTGTTCATCTCCTGTAGTGCTCCCCTTGGTGCACTTGGGTGTCTCTTGTGCCCAGGGGTTGTGCGCTGTTCACAGAAGGGGCTGGCTCTGGAGTAGGCAGATTTCCTGAGCTCCTTTCTGCCATTTGGACTGCTCAAAGTAGCTGGAGCACACAAGAGAGAGCCTGGCCTGCTTTTTTCCCTAGCAGCAGGAGTGTGATGCTATGATCAGAGCGAGACAGTTGTCTAGAAAACTTACTGCTCTGTGTACGCGGTGTACTGTGGAGGCAGTTACTGTGTGATGGAAATAAACCCCAGTGCTGAAATTAGGACAGGAGCTGGCTGGATGTAGTGCCTCTTAACATTCAAGGTGTCCAAACCACTGCACAAGTAATGCATTACTGGTGAGGTATTGTATGTAGATAACAGAGCATGTGTATTATTTTTTGTGATGGCTCATGCACAGCCAGGGATGTCAGAGCTTGGTTCACTGAAGGATGAAGTTTTGGGTGAGGATACAGCAGGATTGTTTCTTATTCCTTCCCCCCTGCTGTGAGATTCCCAATTTTGGACAGCCACTAGAAGCAGGCAGACCTCAGCCATTAATGGTAGCACACACATATTGAATCTCTTGAGTACTTGGGATCTAGCTTAGTACAATATCATTTGTTCCTGCACTGTGTAGAGCCTGCTGGAAGCCCACTTAGATTACACATGAAACATTTTGATTTACTGGGAGTGTCTATTCTGTGGGTGTTTCTATATATGTGTGTATATTGCTATATATATGTATATTTATAAATATTAGTATGCATATATATAGACTCATGCACACTTTTAGGACTGTGCCATTTGAATAACAAGGTATCTAGGGATGCACAGATGCTGAGGCTGATGGACTGGCAAAATGTCATTTTCCATTTTAATTTGTTATTAAGGGGGACCCTTTTCAGTAGAACTGAAGAGCTCCTGAATTGTTCCATTATACCGGTTTGCTATCTCATTCTGGAGTTAAATGGAGGGAAATGAAATATTTATAACACTGATAAAATAAAGTTACTTTTATTATTTAATAGCATCAGTTACTTTTATTGTTTCATGCTTCAATGCTAGAGATATCATTCTGTGTTTTCCAAGGCATGATGATGTCATATCTTTCTCTCTAATTATAGCACCCTTCAGTATTGTGAGGAGTAAGGCTGAATGACTCATGCAAGACAGGAGGAGTGCAAGGCAAATTTTGCATTGGCTCACGGAATTGAACTCCGATTCCAGTGACTCTTTCACTATTTCACATGAAGGCTTCTCTGTGGGTTTACATTTTCAGATATCTGTAGGTGTTTTTAATGACAACTATCACTTTACTTTTCACCAGCAGTATCAACTTGTGCTGTAGCCTGGATTCTGCTACGTAAGGACTGTCTTCTAGAAGTACCATAGACATAAAGAAAATAGAACAAAAATTATATTCTGTTGCCATTGATCTTCCCAATTGTATTTGCAGAGCTGATGCTTTGTGGATGAATAGTTGTGTTTTATTTTTTCTGGTATGGCAGTGGAATACTCTTTAAGTAGTATTTAACATCTTCTTTTGATCATTTTTGCCTTTTTTTTTTTTTTTTTTTTTTTTTTTTGGTTTGAAATTTTTTTGATTTTTATTAAAAAAAATATTTTAAAAATTTTTTGCTTTTATTTTGTTTTTTTTTTTTTTTTTGCTGTGACAGTAGTGTGCCTGTTAATGAAAATCACTAGCACACAACCCCATGGTTGGAAGATGACTGTTTTCCTTTCAAGCTGTACTAGATGCCTGCTGTGGGGTGCAATTATGTGCTGACCCTTTCAGTTTCTCAAAAACGTGTTGAGAAGATCTGATTCTAGGTAAAAGCTATGAAATGGACAAGGTGCATTGGTAATCTAAAGTTTGCTGGTGCTTAATGATACACAAGAAATATGTGAATATGCTGGAAGTACGGCTACTTTGAAAACACTCCAAGGACAATTATACCCTTACACTTCATATATTCCAGGAAGGAAGCAGTTCCTTATGCTGAGCCATCTGAGGTGTGTCATTTTCTTTCCTCCATTTTTTGCATCTTTCGCATCAGACTAATATCCATGGAGGAGTACTTTGCAAGAATGGTGTTTAAGCTTCTGTGTAAGAACTCTTCTATTATACTTAAATTAACATTTCTTTCTCCACTGTATCTGTTTTCCATTTGTCAAACATTATTTTCTCTCTTTATTTTCCTTTTGAAATCTGAGCCAAAACGACATTGGTTGTTTGTTTCCTACTTAATCTAAAGCCTGAAGTGTGAGTATCTTTAGTTATTTCAGTGATCCTCTTAGCAGCTTATCCTTTCTGGATACCTGTCTGGCTACAGGGTATAGTATTACAGGATTCCCTGTGGCAGTACTCATCTTTTCATTTTGCTTTCTTAGCAACAGAGCAGGCAACTATTTTCTTAGTATTGGATAGCTACAGCTTTAAAATCCCAGAGCTGCCTGCCAAGATCAGTTGATTGCAATGGAGATTCAGTAATGTGCCAAAAGTGGCTTGCCAGCTTATTGATGAAGACCAGAATTTTATGCAGAGGATGTGTCTCAAGAGTCAGTGCTTTAACTCCCTTTGGAAGGGCAGGTCATGACTGCACTGTGAAAATGCTTCAAGAGTAGTTATAACTCAGCCCTGCTCCCAGATCCTGGGGCAAAAAGAATACTTAGAGGGGCAAGGATGGTTCAGTCTTTACTGAGGAGTTACCAGTCCCAATAGACTGTGGGAGCTTGGCATAGGCTGCTCCAAAGTAGGCTAAGTACCTGGATTC